AAATAGCATGCATTATATTTTATATAATGTTAATGCTTTTGAAATTATTTCTTAAAAACAAGAGGGCCATAATGGCCCTGAGTCGCTCACCAGATGATCATCCATCAATTAGTTCTGTAATAGAAGATGTTTAAATGTTTTTCTATTTTTAGCTTTAGCGGCCCCTAAAAGGAGCCAATCAAAATAATATTAGCAAACTTGATAAAAGACTACTATACACTACAATGCTACAGACAAAGTTTGGTGATCATCCATCCATTAGGTCTGAAGCAATAGACATTTAAAGGTATTTCTATTTTAAGCTTAAGCGGCCCCTAAAAAGGGCCAATCAAATTCATATGAGCAAATATGATAAATAGAGAATAACATGCTACTGTCTTTTGATATCAATTTTATCAGGCGAGGCTGATATGGGCTAGAAATGGCGAGGCTTTTTCTGGTCCTTCGGGATCATTGATGCCAACACTATGAAGTGTTGAGAATTGAGTACCGCTCAAGCCGGTGCTAGGGGGCGTGAGTGATGTTGCACTTATTCATTATCACTCATGTACAGACTCAATCAAACCGAGTCTGCAATTCTTATGTTATTTTGTTGTGATTAATGCTTCCGAGGATCACTTTGTTTCCAGAATTTTGTACTTCACAACAGCAGGTGTCAAGTGCCGTGTGGGCAGCCGTAAAAAGTTGCCCCGTACTTCACTTCAGTGTTGTTATATTTTTCTGGTCCTTCGGGATCATTTGATGCCAACACTATGAAGTGTTGAGAATTGAGTACCGCTCAAGCCGGTGCTAGGGGGCGTGAGTGATGTTGCACTTATTCATTATCACTCATGTACAGACTCAATCAAACCGAGTCTGCAATTCTTATGTTATTTTGTTGTGATTAATGCTTCCGAGGGATCACTTTGTTTCCAGAATTTTGTACTTCACAACAGCAGGTGTCAAGTGCCGTGTGGCAGCCGTAAAAAGTTGCCCCGTACTTCACTTCAGTGTTGTTATATTTTCTGTTCCTTCGGGATCATTGATGCCAACACTATGAAGTGTTTGAGAATTGAGTACCGCTCAAGCCGGTGCTAGGGGGCGTGAGTGATGTTGCACTTATTCATTATCACTCATGTACAGACTCAATCAAACCGAGTCTGCAATTCTTATGTTATTTTGTTGTGATTAATGCTTCCGAGGGATCACTTTGTTTCCAGAATTTTGTACTTCACAACAGCAGGGGTCAAGTGCCGTGTGGCAGCCGTAAAAAGTTGCCCCGTACTTCACTTCAGTGTTGTTATATTTTCTGGTCCTTCGGGATCATTGATGCCAACACTATGAAGTGTTGAGAATTGAGTACCGCTCAAGCCGGTGCTAGGGGGCGTGAGTGATGTTGCACTTATTCATTATCACTCATGTACAGACTCAATCAAACCGAGTCTGCAATTCTTATGTTATTTTGTTGTGATTAATGCTTCCTTCCGAGGGATCACTTTGTTTCCAGAATTTTACCTTTAATTTAAACATCCATTCCAAAAAAATCCCTTAGAATCACATAAACTTTTACTATACCAGTAGTTTTTGTCTTGAATTGTCAAATTCAAAAGTTCACGATAATTTCAATCGAACAGAAGTAAAATCGGCAATCAAACACAAGCTACACAAATTTGTGTCTTATTTTTTAAACGAAACAATTTGTTCACTTATTAAATAATAATCCGGCAAATAAGTAAACATTTACAAGTTCTGAAAGAAAATTGTCAAGTGTGTTATGTTTACATGTATAGTATGACGTGAACATTGATGATGTCATTTGAAATATAAATTATGACGTCACTCATTTAGTGGTGTTATAACTATTTGACGTTTTAATTTTTTCGTAATTGAAAATTTGAAAAAAAAAAAATAATATCGAATTTTTGATTTTTGACTTGTAAGGGTATGAGATTTCTTTTAGAATTTACAAAAGCTGAGAAAAGAGAAAATTTAAACAATTGGGAAAAAAATCCCTTAAAAATGAGCGGGCTTTTTTTTGAAAATCAAATACTGACCTTTTTATCAAAATTAATTTTTCAGGGAAGTGTTAAACGGGCATTTTCCAAAAGTTTGTTGGGATGAAAAAAACCCAAAATTTTACAAAAAAAAGTTTGGTTTTCAAACCATCAGTTAGTTTTGAGAAGAAGACATCTAAAGGTTTTTTTATTTTTAAATCAGAAAACCCCCAAAAAGGGGGGCCCAAACAAATTTTATATGACAAAAATTGATAGAAAACTATCAAAATGCCACAAAGAAAAAATTTGGTTTATCATCAATCAATTAATTCTGTAGAATTAAACATTTAAAGGTATTTCTATTTTTAGCTTTTGCGGCCCCTAAAAGGGGCCAATCAAAATAATATTAGCAAACTTGATAAAAGACTATCCAAGAATACTACAGACAAAGTTTGGTGATCATCCATCAATTAGAGACATTTAACGGTATTACTATTTTTAGCTTTAGTGGCCCCTAAAAGGGGCCAATCAAATTTATATGAGCAACATTGATAAAACACTTCCCGAGAATGCTACCGACAAAGTTTGGTGATCATCCATCAATTAGTTCTGTAAAAGAAGATGTTTAAAGGTTTTTCTATTTTTAGCCCTAGAGACCCCTAAAAGGGGCCAATCAAAATAGTATTAGCAAACTTCATAAAAGACTACCCAAGAATGCTACACGCAAAATTTGGTGATCATCCATCAATTAGTTCTTTAGAAATAGACGTTTTTAAAGGTTTTTCTATTTTTAGCTTTAGGGGCCCTTACAAGGGGCCAATCAAATAAATATGAGCAAACTTGATAAAAGGCTGCCTAAGAATGCTACAAACAAAGTTTGGTGATCATCCATCCCTTAGTTCTGTAGAAGAAGATATTTTAAGGCTTTTCTATTTTTAGCCCTAGAGACCCCTTAAAAGGGCCAATCAAATTAATATGAGCAAACTTGATAAAAGACTTTCAAAGAATGCTACAGACAAAGTTTGGTGATCATCCATCAATTAGTTCTGTAGAAGAAGATGTTTAAAGGTCTTTCTACTTTTAGCTCTGCTAACCCCTCAAAGGGGCCAATTAGTTGACATGAACAAATTACAGTGTGACTGTCACAAGGATGCTACAGACCAAATTTGAAGTAAATCTGCTTAGTAGTTTCAGAGAAGAAGACGATTGTATACGCATGTCGACGGACGACGGACGCCGGAGCATCCCCTTTGATACTTATAGCTCACCTTGAGCCTTCGGCTCTGGTGAGCTAAAAATACGGTTATGAGTGCGAGTGTGAATGCATGTGTCGTCTTTGTCTCTTTGTGTGTGTGTGTGTTTTTTTTGTTTTGTTTTGTTATTTTTGTGTTTTTTTTTCTGTTCTTTTTTATTTTTTGTAAGTATTGTTTTAATTCATTACATTGGTTTCACATCTGGTATACCCGTTCATATGCATGCAAATAAATAATTGTAAAACCACTGGGATGTGATTTGACCCACAAATGGTTATGTGACGGAGCGAATAAATGGGGTTACCCCATGTGGGGCCTGAAAAAAATTAATGGGTAGTAATTTTTTTTTCTTTTCTTTTTATGTAAATTAAGTTATTATTGAACATTGGAAATAGAACTACTATCATCCGGAATGAAAATTGTAAATGCACTAATAATAAGAGTCTGATACATGCATCAGTTGATCACAAACACTCACTTTGACAGTGGTCAAATGAGGATAATATAGAAATGTATAACAAAAGTGATATCATAAGAAAATGGTATACTTCTGTCACAGCAGAAACATCTGATTTCAAAACAGAAACGTCTGATTCCACTTTTCCGATTCTTTTACAAAGGTCTGTTGTTAATTCCTCCACCTTTTCAGACATGTTTGTTTCAAGGTTTTGTACTCTTTCATTGAAATCCTTTACTTCTTCAATCATTTGTTTCAACTCCTCTGCCTTTTGGGTTACACACATTATTGCCTCTTTACATACATCTGCCTCATCGTTGGTTGTTATTACAAATTTGCTTTCCTTCAACTGACAACAAACATAAATAATTATAATAAAAAACTAAAGCCATCACTAAAGGTATTCATAAGTTATGACAAATATGTAGAAAAAATAGCCAAATTTGAATTAAGCCTGTATATAATCGTGTAACATTTATGTAAAAAAAGATTACATTAGTTACACTGACCCTGACCTTGAACCGAAGGGATCCGACACAATTTTTTTTTAAAGCTTGCTTTAAATTTTAGTGACAGTAACCTTGATTTTAGGGAACCAAAAGCAATCCCATCCTGTGTCTTTTTACTGGCTTGTTGTATGAAAAGTTTGAATACAACATCTCATTTTAAGGAAAAGTATTGCATATACAAACTTGACAGTTATACATAGTGCCTTTTCGTCTTTTACAAAGAATGATATTATATTATGAAAGTTGTGACTATTGACTCAATGACAGTATATTAAATTTAACCTTACATTATATCCACATTACGAAAACCAATAAAGGTTACGAGAATAACGAAAGAATAGCGGGTCACAGACAGCAGCATATTTGTGTTTGTCCAAAAAAAAGTATGGCATTATTATTATATTGGGGACAAATACAATCAAATAAGACATATATCATAAGTTAATTTGTCAGTTTTAACATATGTGTGTACATATATGAAATTATTTGAAATGTATAAAACTGTATTTTAGCAACAACAAAAAAGCAAATTGTTTAAATTGAATTAACAAAAAAATCATCAAAAATGCTTGCTTGGAAAGGACTATGGTAGTACGTGTATATTGGTTTAAAGCAAATGGTGCATAGAGTAAATCATAGTTATACATTTAAAAGTCCTTCTTAAATAGCAGCATAACATTTTGTTCCGGAACACAGTCTGTTTAGGTACAGTATCCATGTGTGTTAATTAACAGATGCATCTTATGTTACAACATTTTCAAAAATCTACTATAATATAATGGAAAAAATATAATTTTACCGTAAACAAATTTAATAACAAGAGGGCCATGATGGCCCTAGATCTTCAACTCATCCGAATAATTACCTAGACAAGCATTCTGACCAAGTTTATGACAGTTGAGTCAAAAATGTGACAACTAGAGTGTTAACAAGGATTATTCATTAGCAGTGTGACCTAGTTTTTTACCCCAAGTGACCTATATTCGAACTTGACCTAGAAATCATCAAAACAAACTTTCAGACCAATTAAGAGGATACTTGGATCAAAACAGTAGCCACTAGAGTGTTAACAAGATTTTTCTATTTTTAGCTCTGGTGACCTGGTTTTTCATGCGAGATTACCCATGTTCGAACTCATTCGAGCAATGACATAGACAAGCATCCTGAACAAGTTTGATGATAATTGAGTCAAACATGTGACTACTAGAGTGTTAACAAAGTGTTTCCATATTTGGGCGGTGTGACCTAGTTTTTCATCCGAGAAAACCCATGTTCGAACTTGAAATAGAAATTATTAAAACAAACTAACAGACCTATTTACAGGATATTTGGATCACAACAGTAGCCACTAGAGTGTTAACAAGATTTTTCTATTCTTAGCTCCTGTGACCTAGTTTTTCATCGCAGATGACCCATGTTCGAACTCGTCCGTGCAATTACCTAGACAAGCATCCTGACCAAGTTTAATGACACTTGAGTCAAAAATGTGACCGCTAGAGTGTTAACAAAGTTCTTTTATAAGCTCCTGTGACCTAGTTTTTCATCCGAGATGACCAAGGTTCAAACTCAATTGAGCTATCACCTAGACAGGCATCCTGACTAAGTTTGATAATGATTGAGTCAAAAATGTGACCGCTTGAGTTTTAACAAGGTTTTTTCTATTTTTAGCTCCGGTGACCGTGTTTTCATCCAGGATGACCCATGTTCAAATTCCTTCAAGCTATCACCTAGACAAGCATCCTGACCAAAGTTAATGATGATTATGGCAAAAATGTGACCACTACAGTGTTAACAAAGTTTTTCTATTCTAAGCTCCTGTGACCTAGTTTTTCATCGCAGATGACCCATGTTCGAACTCGTCCATGCAATTACCTAGGCAAGCATCCTGACCAAGTTTAATGACACTTGAGTCAAAAATGTGACCGCTAGAGTGTTAACAAAGTTTTTCTATTTTTAGCTCCGGTGATCTAGTTTTTCATCCGAGATGACCCATGTTCGAAGTCATCGGAGATATCACCTAGGAAAGCATCCTGACAAAGTTTGATGACGACTGAGGCAAAAATGTGACCGCTAGAGTGTTAACAAGGTTTTTCTATTTTTAGCTCCGGTGACCTAGTTTTTCATCCGAGATGACCCATGTTCGAACTCATCCGAGCTATCACCTAGACAAACATTCTAACCAAATTTGACGAAGATTGAGGCAAAAATGTCACTTCTAGAGTGTTAACGAACAAGTGTGGACGGATGATGGAGGACAGACGACAGACGACGGACAATTCAATGATCCTTAAAGCTCACACCCTGAACAGGCTCAGGTGAGCTTAAAACAAAAATCATCAAATATAGCTTTAAACTTTTTTTAAGAATACAAATACATTAATTTTTATTTTAAAACAAATTGTATAGTCGTGTCTCTAAAGAAAGGCTATTTGAACATATGATAAGGCAAAAAAATTTATTTACCTGTTTTAGTTTGTTGACAGCTTGCTGAGCATCATGTCTTCCTTTGAGTTGTTTTGGGTCTTCAAGAATTTCAACAATATCATCTATACATTCAACCACTTCCCCATCTTCCATTTCCATGGTAGCGGAATGAAACAACTTGTTTCTTCTTTCTCGTACCTAGGAATTTCGTGAAAAGTATGTTATGTTTAACATCTGGAAAATTGTGATCCATCGGAAGCATTTAAAACAGCAAAATAACATGAAAATTGCAGACTTGGTTTGATTGAGTTTGTACATGTGGGAGAACAAACAAGTGCAACATCCCTACCGCCCCCTAGTACCCTAGTACTGGCATGTACGGTACTAATATTTCAAAACTTAAAAGTCACAATGTTAGATAGAACAACAACAATGAAGTTAATATTTTTTTATTTATTTATATTTATCATTAATCTAAGACAAGAGGGCCATGATGGCCCTAGATCGCTCATTTGACCCATCGAACTCATCCGAACAATTACCTAGACAAGCATTCTGACCAAGTTTCATGGCAGAAGAGTAAACAAGAGGGCCATGATGGTCCTGAAGTCGCTCACCTGTATATAGGCCCCCGGAGCGGGGCCAGTTTAAACCCCAGGGCTTTTATTTGAATAAACTTGGTAGACACCCATTAGAAGATGTTTCATGCAAAGCATCTAAGGTCTAACTCGTTGGGTTTGTTTTTTAAAAGAAGATTTTTTCAAGTTTTTTCCTAACACGTATAGTAAAAAACAATGACACACCTGGGACAGGGCCAGTTTTGACCCCAGGGCTTTTATTCGACAATCTTTGTAGACACTTTCATGCTTAATATCTAAACTCTAGCTATTCGGGTTTCTTCAAAGAAGATTTTTAAGTTTTTGCTATACACATATAAGGAAAATCAATGTTCCCGGGGCGGGGCCAATTTTGACCCCAGGGCTTTTATTTGAACAAACTTTGTAGACACTCACTAGAAGATGCTTCGTGCTTAATATCTAAACTATAGCTATTTGAGTTTTTTCAAAGAAGATTTTATAAGTTTTTGTTAAACACAAGTATAAGGAAAATGAATGACCCTCGGGGCGGGGCCAATGTTGACCCCAGGGCTTTTATTTGAACAAACTTGGTAGACACTCACTAGATGATGTTTCATGCTTAATATCTAAACTCTAAATATTTGGGTTTTTTTTCAAAAAAGATTTTTTAAGTTTTTGCTATATAGAGGATATTGAATGAGTTTAAGTTCAATACTGAATTTATTGCACGAGTTGAATCAAATTAATAATATTATAATATTATTTTATTCAACGAGTGCAATAAATTCAGTAATGAACTTACACGAATTTAATATTCTATTGATCACATACCAAAAATAAAGACCGTTTAAAGTGAAACAAGAGTAATTTTACATTGACGCGCCTATAGTATAACATTAACATTTAGCGCGTCTTTACACTATCTTTGTATAACGCTAATGACGTCACGTCAAAATATATGCACGGCCGTGCAATACCATATTTACGGAGTCGCAAAATCGACACATATAAGGAATATCAATGACCCCCGGGGCGGGACCAATTTTGACCCCAGGGCTCTTATTTGAACAAATTTGGTAGACACCCATTGGAACATCAATCATGCTAAATATTTTAGCTCTAGCTCTTTGGGTTCTTTAAAAGAAGAATTTTAAGTTTTCGCTATATGCATATAGGAAAAATCAATGACCCCCTGGGGCGGTGCCAATTTTGACCCCAGGGCTTTTATTTGAACAAACTTGGTAAACACTCACTAGCAGATGTTTCATGCCAAATATCTAAGCTCTAGCTCTTTGGGTTTTTTTTGAAGAAGATATTTAAAGTTATTTCTTTTGGTTGCCATGGCAACAAGAGTTCTGCACGGAATTAAATTCTTTGAACAATTTTCAAAGGTGACCACCAAAGGAATATTCCTGTGAAGTTTGGATGAAATTGGCTCAGTGGTTTATAAGGAGATGTCATTTAAAGTAAATGTTTATGGACAACGGACGGACGACGGCCGGACGCCGGACGAAAAGCGATCACAAAAGCTCATCCTGTCACTATATGTGACAGGTGAGCTAAAAATGTGACCACTACAGTGTTAACAAGGATGATCCATATTTGAGCAGTGTGACCTAGTTCTTTTACCCAGGTGACCCACATTCGAACTTGACCTAGAAATTATTAAAACAAACTTCAGGCTAATTTACAGAATAATTGAATCAAAACACTAGCCACTAGAGTGTTAACAAGATTTTTCTATTTTTAGCTCCGGTGACCTAGTTTTTCATGCCAGATAACCCATGTTCAAATTCATCTGAGCAATTACCTAGAAAAGCATCCTGATTATGTTTGATGATAATTGAGTCAAAAATGTGACCACTAGATTGTTAACAAGGTTTTTCTATTTTTAGCGGTGTTACCTTAAGTTTTTCATCCGAGAAAACCCATGTTCGAACTTGACCTAGACATCATCAAAACAAACTTTCAGACCAATTTATAGGATACTTGGATCAAAACAGTAGCAACAATATTGTTAATAAGATTTTATTTTTAGCTCAGGTGACCTAGTTTTTCATCCGAGATGACCCATATTCAAAATAATCCGAGCAATGACCTAGACAAGCATCCTGACCAAGTTTGATGATAATTGAGACGAAAATGTGACCACTAGATTGTTAACAAGGTTTTTCCATATTTGGGCAGTGTGACATAGTTTTTTACCCCAGGTGACCCATATTGGAACTTGACCTAGAGATCATAAAAACAAACTTTTAGACCAATTTACAGGATATTTGGATCAAAACAGTAGCCACAAGAGTGTTAACAACAGTTTTCTATATTTAGCTCCTGTGACTTAGTTTTTCATCCGAGATGACCCATGTTCGAACTTATCCGAGCAATTACATAGGCAAGCATACTGACCCTGTTTGATGACAATTGAGGCAAAAATGTGACCACTAGAATGTTAACCAGATTTTTTTTTTATTTTTCGCTCCTGTGACCTAGTTTTTCAAGATGGCCCATGTTCGAACTCATCCGAGCAATTACCTTGACAAGCATCCTGACCAAGTTTGATGACACTTGAGGCAAAAATGTGACTGCTAGAGTGTTAACAAGGTTTTTCTATTTCTAGTTCCTGTGACCTAGTTTTTCTTTCGAGATGACCCCTGTTCAAACTGGTTTGAGCTATCACATAGACAAGCATCCTGACAAAGTTTGATGATGATTGAGTCAAAAATGTGACCACTAGAGTGTCATCAAGGTTTTTTATTTTAAGCTTCGATGACCTAGTTTTTCATCTGAGATGACCCATGTTCGAACTCATTCGAGCTATCACCTAGACAAGCATTCTGACCAAGTTTGATGATGATTGAGGCAGTATTTGACCACAAGAGTGTTAACAAGGTTTTTCAATTTTTAACTCCGGTGACCTAGTTTTTCATCCGAGATGACCCATGCTTAAACTTATCCCATCTATCACCTAGACAAGTATCCTGACAAAATTTGATGATGATTGAGACAAAAATGTGACTGCTAGAGTGTTAACAAGGTTTTCTCGTTTTTTAGATCCTGTGACCTAGTTTTTAATCTGAAATAACCCATGTTTGAACTCATTCAAGCTATCAACTAGACAAGCATCCTGACCATGTTTGATGATGATTGAGGCAAAAATGTGACCGCTAGAGTGTTAACAATGTTTTTCTATTTTTAGCTCCTGTGACCTAGTGTTTCATCCGAAATGGCCCATGTTCCAACTCATCCGAGCTATCAACTAGGTTAGCATCAAGACAAAGTTTGATGATGATTGAGGCAAAAATGTGACCGCTAGAGTGTTAACGAACAAGTGTGGCCGGACGACGGACAGACGAGGGACGACTCAAACGCTCCTAAGAGCTCACCGTGAGCAAGCTCAGGTGAGCTAAAAAAACTAGCAGAAACTCCGATAATGTTCAGCTTAAACTTTCCTTTTGCCCATTATTTAAATCTACAAATCTTTTAATTAGGCCAAAAAAAAAAAAAAATGTCTGGTTCCAAAAAATTAGGATGGTAGGGATTTTTTTTTTGTTTGTTTGTTTTTTTTTGGTTGGGAGAATGTCTTATTTTCCATATATAGATGTGTTGCTTGCTAAACATACTTAAACAAAGAATGTAATCAATCAATGCAAACACCATTTTGTAATAAACTATCACCCGCTGTACTATGCTAACCTGCATCTGACAGGTATGACAATTAAAGATCAAGGGTCACCTCTGTAACAAGTTAATAATAATGCTTTATTATATGCTTAGAGCAGACTGACATGCACTATTCCGGGGACCAAAATAACACAGCGATATATAATACTAATATTAAACATATTCAAATGGTCTTCAGGGTGCACAAGTCTATAGATATATGTGCAACTGGTACCAACTGGTACCAACAGTTGCAGGGTTCTCACAAAGTAGGAGTCTTTAAGGACTCCTAAGCACAAAAAAGTAGGAGTTCCAGATCAAATTGAATATGTTTAGCCATCTTTGCTGCACTTATATGCAGTTGACGAATATGATGTATAGCAGAGTAAGGGGTTGGGGAGTCAGAGTTTGAACAGAGAAAAAGCTTCTTCAGGAAAATGATAACATGTCCCAAACACTGTACCATAAAAGTGATTGAAAAGATTTGAAATATAATTTCAAAAACATACATCATCAGACCATTATGCTGTTTCTTACACCCCCCCCCCTCCCTTAAAAAAAAGAAAATATTCATTGTATGTTACAAACACATACTGGTCATGGCTCCATCTCAACTAACGTAAACAATATCTTTAGTAAATTTGATTCCTAAACTATATTTAAGTGTTATTACACACATTTTAACAAAACATTTACGATTTTTTAATTATAAAAAGCGGAATCGCGAAAATATGTGACAATTGGAAATGTGACTTGTTGTTGATTCTTATCATATAAGATTAAATATTTTTTGATTTTTTTAATATTGTTACTGTCATCGGCTATTTCAACAGGCATCGTAAAACAAAATTTTCACATTTGTTATTTACCGTTGTTGATGAAACTTTTTGAAGACATACTTGACTGGTATTTATTTAACATGTACAAAATAGAGTTTAGGTTGGTCAATATCTTCT